CGAATGCACGCATTCGGTGCCGCCGAGCTGTTACCTTTTTATTCAGGTTTTTTGTCTCTCGACGTGCTTCTCGACTCGTGGAAATACCCAGAGATCTAGCATTACTCAGAGAATCGAACCGAGCTTATTAACACATTGCCAACGCGCGAGTTGCTGTACTTAACCAGGCCTTGAGAAATATTCGTTTCGTAAACAGTACGCAATATCTCGACTTGAATTTTTACGATTCTCGTAACATAGAAGTCAATATAATAAAATCGAAAAGTAAAAATAATAATTTTCTTTCAGATTCGTCAAAAGTTTAGGTTCTTTGGTCGATCGACAATTACTGGGAAAAGGGCACACTGGGAAAAGGGCACACACACGAAGAAAAATAATTTAGAGAAACAGCAAACTTTATGTCTTAGCAAATAAATAAATATCAGGGTGTTTCTTAAGTAGAGAGGAAAGCACCGAAACTGACATAGATATAGTAAATCGTCATACCCATGTTTCTCGGCTGTAAACCACTGAACTCTGTCGGTTAGAACATGAATTTCGTTTACTGTACAGCAGTTGGAACTGAAATGGCAGTTTCTGCCATCAGTATGTTGGTTTTTGACCTAAAAGCGTTAATTCTCAAACATTTTTAAAAATAGTTATAGTTTCAAGGGAAGTATATTTAGTGAAGTTATAGTTTCAAGGGAATATGTAATAATTTTCATAAGATTATCGTTATATTTCGGTAGAGAAGTGTTGCCGGTTTGCATGAAAGTTTCAATTTTACATATTCAACACAGGACTTTAAAGCCCACAAACAAAATGGTACGTCGGTTTCGGTGCTTCTTCTCTACTGTCCAATATTTCAGCAGTTGATTTCTAAGGACATTTAATAAAGAAAAGTTTACACGAACACGTGTTCGTTCCTTCAACGGAATCTAAAATCTAAACATCAAAATAATAATATTCCTACAGAATCGTCAAAAGTTAAGATCGATCGGTCGATCAACGATCATCGAGGGAGGAATATACCCCATCGGTCGGCAGTGTGTTGATAATTCGATCGGTCGATTCAGTGCGAACCGGGCAAACTTTACACGATGAAGTCTACCCCGGAATATTCGCGCGAACACGGGCGAAGGCAACGAGCGGAAGTAAAGAGAGGGTGCCATATGATCCCGTTCCGCGTCTTTCATATCTCACTACTCACGCATACCGGGTGGGCGACCGTAAGGGAAGGATATGAATACCGGCGGAAGTTCGCCGTCTGCACAATTGAAGCCAATTACGATCGATGCGGCACAATTCCTCCAACTCGCGATCGCTCGAGCGCGACTTCGCGCGTCTCTCACCGTCGCGCGCGAGAATGACGTCGAGGTGGTTGCGTCGAGGGGGTGGTGCGTCGGGAAGGAAGAAAACGTCGCGAATAACGCCGGCCGGCTGGCTATTCGTTTCCGCGCGCTTCCACTTCCGGAAAAAGCCACCGAGCTGACACCGGCGGGCGCGCGATAAATTACCGCGGGGACAACGGGCGCGAGTGCTCTCCGTGAATCTTCCCTTATCACGACGCACGTGACCGAGTTCGCCCGTAATACCGGTATATCTTGCGAACGCGTTCCTAGGAGGGAGCAAGAGAGGGAGAGAGGGAGAGAGAGAGAGAGAGAGCGTTCAACGGAAATTCGCAACAGTCGTAACAGCCGCCGTCTGCGAATCTTTACGAACGCATCGATATTGCCGCACCATCCGCATTTTCAACCCGGCTGTTTTTTCACATCAACGCTTCGCCTACCGTTATTAACTGGGTGTTTCGACGATGTTGTTATTCTAATAAAATCGATCACGCTACCGCCGATGGAGTGTTTATTTGCGCTCACATTCGGTGGAGCACGCGTGTCACTCGCCGAGACCGAGAGGATTAAACGGTCCTCTCCGTCAAAATGATACAAATAATAGCTTTTATTTCCAACCATCGGTGCTGTGTAACGAGTGAAAATTCATTTTTGGAAAAAATCGGTCGCGCCACGCGTTGCGTCGAGTGTCGCGCGACTCGACGATGCGCGCCGCAATTCTCGAGATGCGGCGCGATGCGTTCTCGGAAAGTCGGGCCTGTAACGGAGCGAATTGAGAGGGGGGGGGGGGAAGGAGAAACACTGGAAAAATACACAGGGGATCTATTCGATTGAGATAATTCCGTCGCCGCGCACAGCCGCGTTTTCAAAGTTGATTTTATCGTCCGTGTGTACGGACGCACGCGCGTCGAGTCGTAGAAACAACGGATCAGTTGCGATATTTATTCACGATAGTTTGTCGGTATCGCGTACAAATCCGTTTAGCCCTCCGGCGATTTCGCCTAACGATTCCAATTTTTGTATGCCAAACGAGCCGTTTTCACGGTGCGCCTCGCTCGCCCGTTTTTCTTCCTGCTCTCTTTGTTTTCTCTCTCTCTCTCTCTCTCTCTCTTTTTGCATTTCGACGATATCGGTAATTTGATATCCCGCGAGTGGATTCGCCTGAACGCGATTAAATGCGCTAGGATTTCCTGCCGGGAACAACCGGTGTCACGGCGGCTCCGGTCTCGCGCGATCGCGTCGGCCGGATGAATTTATCAGCGTCGTTTATTAGGAGAGATTATGCGCTCGCGTTATGGCGGATGGATTAAAACTGCACTGCCCGCCGGCGAAAGTGCGACGCGCACAAAGCGTTTATCTCGATCGACCAGGCCGTAAACCATCAATAGATGATTATCCGCAATGACCTACTCTCTCTCCATCTCTCTTTTCCTCTCCCCCTTTCCCTTCCTCTCGATGACCATCGCGCGAAATTTCGAGCGTTCGTGCGAGCTCCGTGGCTTATTCGAGAATGTGACCACCCGAGTCGAAATTTGGATGCTGCTTCGAATAAATTATATTTTCCGAATTAAAACGGAATTTATTTTGCTATCTTAGCTCCTGCTATGTTGTAGAATTGAATTAAAAGTTTAAAATAGGAGCAAAATTTCAGGAAAGGGACTAAGTACGGCGCGAAGATACGCAATTTAAGAAACGAGATTGATACCACGAAGAACGCCAAACACTCGGGTCCCCGTAATGTTTTAATGATTTTTCCAGCGACTGATGATGTTTACAGGAACGACATAAATAACGGAAATAATAAACTCTCGCAATAACGGCGCTTGAGTGGTGCGTTAAAGAAATAATTTACGATAAAAGTACGATTCGTATCGCGGGGAGTATTGATTCTGCCGATTCTGCGAAGCGAATAGAACTGCGGATGAATAGAGTCCTCGGTACTGCGGAGCGTTGTCGTATAGGTGGAGGAGACTGCTTATTGAGAATTTATCAAATATCTCGAATATTTTTGCCCGACTCGAAATATCCGACATTAAATATCGGAAGAGTCGCGCGGAATGAACCGCCGCCGTCAACAAATTGCTGGAAGATATTCATTGCGTTGGTAAAATTGACCGCAAATCCGTCGGACAATCCGTAGACAAAAGAAGCCTACGATGATGAGACACTCTTTATGATTCTCCACAGCGGATGATGGGTGAAGAAAAAGGAACTCGAAAAAAGCCGAGCGCGCTGCGGCGCTCCCGAGTCGAAATTTGGATGCCACTTTGACGCTCTTAAGAATGATTTGTTCCTATTGGTAAATGGCTTATAGAGTAATAAAAACCTACTTTGACGATATTGACGTTTATTAACTTCTCTCTTTTGAACCTTTAATTTGAGAAATATAATTGTAATGCCATCTTGTACGATCTATTTTGATGCTAAAACAGGAAAAACAGAAATTCAAGGCATTATCAGAGTCAAAGTAAGAGTAAATTATATTATTGGAATTTGAATTGAACCTGGTTTGTTATTTTAGCTCTTGCTGCGTTGCGGAATTAAAGATTTAACACAGAGTAACAATTCGGATTTTTATCAGGCGGCGCTCCCGAAAAATCCGAACGTGCGTTACGCGCGCACGCACGCGGCGCGCTCGATTCGATTACCGCAGCCGCTTCAATCGCGATATTTCGGCCGGCTTGTAATTACAGCGGCTGTCACGCGGTAGAGGGGAGGAGGAGGCGGGGGAAATTACCGGTAAGAATGGAAAACGCGGCCGCGCGCGGAAACAGCGGAGGAAGAGAGGCACGTAGTGGATAATGACTCCGCTTTTCCGCGGTATCTGCGCGCGGTTGGACGGTACTCATTGCCCTGCGTGCAGTAACTTTCTAAATTATTGCCGACGATTTGTTTGCCCGCGCAGCGCACCGTATCGTGTAGCATTACGCTGGACCGCTTGCTCGGTTCGCGAATTGGACCCGCGCCTCTGCGCGGATTAACCGGCCGAGAGGTGTCGCGGATAAACGATTCACTACAGACGGTTAAATCCAAGAGATGTGCGAGAGTCGTTCGAGGATTAATAATAACAATATATTTATAATAAAATATCTAGAATAAGAATCTGTATTAACGAAAAATCCTCTCGTGTGTTAAGATAAAATTGTAAATAAGAAATTTTTGTAAGATCAATTTAGGAGAACAGAGGGCATAGTACAAATATATATACAGAGAAGAAAATGTTAGAATCAAGTAAACTCATACGGGAGAGAGAAGATATACATAGTTCGCTTAATTAAAAATATTTCGTTAAAATATTTAGTTGTAAGTAACATAGATACGTCACCAATACTTATTTTTGTGTTTTAAAACACAAGTAAATCTCTTACACGAAGGAAATATCATATTGTACATAGTCAATTATATTTCTATTTCCAGTAAATCGTTGACAAGGAGTATTGGGGTAACCATTTTACTTGGATTAAGTAAATATTACTTGAACTTTTTTCTTCCAATATAGTAGAGAAGTAAATAAATAGATTAAATAAATGAGTAAAAATAGCGGAAGAACGGATCGTGTCTCGATTCGCAAGGAGACGCGGTCGGATCGATCGAGGATAAATATTCCGGATCGAGATACGGAGTAACGTAACGACAAGAACGCGATCTGCATCGATCGATTTTCTCTTACAGGCCTGCGACTGCTTGGGAGTCAGCAAGGAGTGCGATTACTTCGGTCTGAAATATCAGAACGCGAAGGGCGAAGAGCTCTGGCTGAACTTGAGGAACCCTATAGAGCGGCAAACCGGCGGCGGCGTGGCGCCACTAAGATTCGCTTTGAGGGTGAAGTTTTGGGTACCACCGCACCTGTTGCTGCAGGAGGCCACCAGGTAATGAGTTCTCGCGCGCTTATCGCTACTTGTCCGAATCCATTCGTCGCAATCAGCGGGCACTCTAGCTGCTCCGATCTATACGTGATGTTTTGGACTCGCGTTCTGACATGAACCAAACAATTATAACTAAATACGATAATAAAATAGTTATAATTAAATACGAGGGAAATGTCGCGGATGTTAAGGAGATGCTGTAATAGAAAACTTTGCCGATAAATTTAACTTTCTTATTTCTCAAAGTTTACGTCGTATTGACTGCACAGAATTATAAATGCTTTTACACAGTGCAAGTACGCGCAAAAATGAATCGAAGCGTTGCTGAATATGTGACGAAAACGATAAAAAATTTCAAAATTGACATCTCTAACCGTGAATTAGCGTGTAAATATTTACTTGATGCGAAAATCCTGCTGCTTGTACACACCGAATGTATCAATGCTCCGATCCGGAAAATTTCAAAGAATATTTATATATTTTTTCAATTAAGTTTAGAGGCCTAAAAAGGTACGGAAAGATTGTAAAAAAAACTTTCATATATTTTAGTCAGATTTTCCGTTAGATATAGTAAAAAACAGAATAGCACACATTCGCATTAATATCACACTTACACTTACGTAAAATCTATATGTGCAAGAAATATAAAAAGAGTAGCGTGCTCGTGTCAGTGTTTATGCAACATAATACTTCGAGGATCACTTTTACGTAATCGATGCATATCAAATTCGTCATTGGCATCCTCTTAACACGTTTGCTGCGCATTAATTCACTCGTACACATTGCGTCACACGTATACTTCATCATTATAATTAAAATGATTATACGATTTTCGACGTTATGCGTGCACTCCGCGGCATATACGCTTCATTATTATAATTAGAGTTATGTATGCAATTTTCGACTTTACTGCATACATACGTAAGGTTGAAAATTGTACAATTCTTGATTTAGGAAATGGTAAAGCACACATGACGCATACAGTGTGCACAGCGAACGACTCGCGTTCGACTAACCGTCTTAACCGAAATTCCGCGCATCGATGTATCTTCGTACAATTATCCAACAACAGGACGCTATCGCCGTGATACGGTGAAGTTGCATTTATCGTTCCTCATCTCGGGACGAGGATCGAGGAGAGGGCCCGCGTGTAATCTCGTAAACTGCATCCCAAGGGACCAATGCTTTCGTTGTCTCTACATAGTCGGTTGAGGTGAACGGATGGCTTACATGCGTTACGTGCGACAGACAAATCGTATGCGCCGGAGGACGAGGATGAGCGATCGTGTCGTGAATAGCAACCCCTCGCGACAGATCGGTCGTGTTGACAACTTGCTTTCGAGTGAGGACTCATTTCACGAATCGTCACAGCATTATCCGCGGGTGAATTCGGCGACACGAGACTTGGGGAGAAAGCACCAAAATCGACATATTATTTTGCATTTAGACTGTCAAGTCTCGTTCAAGATGTAAAATTAACATTGATGTTAATTTTCATAAGGATATTTTTATAAGGAAATTATTTTTCAAAGAAAAGGGATTCTGACTTCTTCTTTCCGACTATCTTGAACAAACAAGCGAGAGAAACAGGGGAAAATCAGTCGCCGATTGTTTCAACTTATTCTGCGAGATATTATTTTATATATTATTTTACAGCAAAATTCAGGTATGTAAATTGAAAGACCAGTCAATTCATACGTGTCGGTTTACGGAACAATCGAACCCTAACTTTTCTTACGTAGTGCAGCGATAGAGGATAGAGATTGACACAAGATCCAAAGTGATTGAAAAAGTTCCAAGCTCACGTTAAAAAATAGCATTGCCAAATAAATTACTTGTCCTTGACTTATTACTCCAGTTTTCATACGAATATAACTTAAGCAAAAGCTTCAACATGACGAAAAATAGAACAACACGTAACCGAACGTGCTTGTAAACGGAAACTGCCAATTCAGCTCCACCTACTGTACACAATTGACGGAATTTGTGTTCCGTCCGACATAGTTCACTGATGAGAAATGATATATGTACGGTTTGCCGTACCCATGTCAATTTTGACGCTTTTCCTCTAATGGGTTCGCGACGATAATCCGGTACGGGGATTCTCTGTCAATGAGGGAGCTCTTAATTCTCAACAGAGCCCTTAATCCGAGAGAGTACCTCGTCTTTCTTTTCATGCGATAAATTTCGAGTATCGGTAACTGGAAGCGGCTAGGTCAATACCTCTTCGCCACCCTCGGCTGGCGTTCATCGCGGGCTAAGTCGCTGCCTTAATTACAGGACATTTGCATCGGCTTCGAGTCTTCCCCGCATTTCGAAGCGAAGCCCCTTTTTGCGCCCCTTATTGATCCCCGAGCGGGAGTTGTGTATCCGGCCGTTGCCGCGGTGCGCCTGTATTAAATGTCAATCGAAGTTTCACGCTTCGCCGGTTGTTTGTTATACAATTACAAACTGTTGTGCGTACAGAGCACGCTTCGATAGGCGGCTACGCGGTGGCGGCGGCGAACGCATCATCGCGTTTCGCCGCGCAGTGAGACACGCGAGAAACCCCCCGTGAGAGATACGCGCAACTCCGGCTGTATTTTAAAATTAGTCCGTCTCCGTGCCATAAATACGCCGGGATGAGGAACTGTCACGGGAAATACACATCGCGGATGTTCGGCCGGGCAGCAAGTCGTTTTGTTTGAAGTTCTGATTGGCTCGTTACCGCAGCGCCGCCCGCCGTATTCAAAGCGAGTGTCGCGAACTCCCTCGCGCAGTTGCGAATTGCGTCCGCTGTAATCCGGATGCACTCGTGCGAATGCCGCGGCGAGAACGAGACGGAGGCCTCCGGTCCGAATTGAAAATCGTTTCCGCCGTAAAAATTCCTCTCTCGGGGAACCAGAGAGCGAGAGAGCGGGAACGGAGTGGAGAAATAGAGAGAGAGAGAGAGAGGGAGAGAAAATCGTAGGGGGAGGGGGGGAGAGAGAAAGCGTGGGAAGAAGAGTAGACGGGACTCGTTCGTGCAATCAGCCGGATTCCTTGGGCGCGATCCACGCGATCCATCGATCCTCGAGCGAGCACGTACGAAATTGGATGCTGGCGTCGCCGTGGGAGTACTGATTGCGTCGGGCGATATTGTTGTTGGATGTGTTTTCGGGCTCGGTGCGAAGGCGGGCGGGTACGTCTCTGCTCGGGAGATACACGGTAAATAATGTTATGCACGGCGCGGCGTTACGACGTCGATGCGATTTATTTTGAATTATTCGTGGCATTTGTATCGGGAGCATCATATCCTTCCTCCCCCTCCCCCCTCGCCCCTCCGTTTCCGGCTACGTGACCGTGCGGTGCCGCGCGACGCGATCGTCGCGCGCGCGCGAAATTGGATCGCGTCGGCGTGAAGTACGAGAGATATCTAAAAAGTGATTTCGAATTCTCCTCATTACGAGCGCCTGGTAATTGTATCGCGTATCCCCGGTGAGAAATTTCCGATTCTCGCGCGCGACCCAGAGTCGGAATTTTGGTTCTATCTTAAACATTTAATTCTACAACACAGCTAGTATCAGTATATAAGATAGAAGAATGTCATCACCACGAATGCGAAGGCTGTTCCAGGAGGCGTAGATAAGAGGCGGTTGTGGAGGGTGAAAAAGTCAATAAGTTATTTAAATATCGGCGCGAACTATCTTGAAGAGCGTCGAAGTAGTATTATCACAAAATTTCGACTCGGTATTCCGACACGGAAATGAAAGAACCCGCCGTAAGCCCGCGAATCGGTATCATGCGGAATCGATTGCATCGGCAATACGCTTACGATATTTGATTGGAACCGCGCTACTTTTTTTATTCGTGCTATCGAGCCACGACGATCAATTGGCGATGTGCTCTCGCGCGGAAATCGCGACTCCTCGACTATCGTCTCGTGTCCGTCGTCTCGAGGCGAAGGGAATTCACGACGCGACCACTCGACGGCTTCCTCCCGTCCGTGTCGCCTCGCGTCAAAAGTATCCGGCGAGTCGCAATTAAATGCGATCCGCGTCGGTTGCAATTAATAGCGAGCGACGCGGCGGTCCGCGGATTTCAGCAGATCGAAACATAATTCCAATTTAATCGCGGTCGCTCGAATCAGCCCTCGTGAAGCTAAACGCGCGAAGAGTAATGCGCCCGGCGTGCGAATTAATTCGTCGCTGGTACCGCTCGACGTTACTGTAATTGCGCCAGCTGACGCGGCGGGATCCCCCCTCTTTCTCTCTCTCTCTCTCTCTCTCACTCGCTCGCATTCAGCGAGCGTGTACGTGTCAGATTTACAGCAAATCCTTTTCCTTCTGCGTGTAACGCGAAAGAGACGCGCCGCGACACTCAAGTAGGCGGATGAAAAATGACTCGTTAGATCTGAGAGCGTCTTGTGTAGTTGCTGCGGAGCGCATGGATTGATTAATGTATAGCGTATCAGATTCCCGTGAAAATCACGATGCGCGCGTTACGTTTTCAACCACGTAACAAAATCCAACGGTAATGCCGACCTCAACGTCAATACACTCCTATGGCGAGAGCTGTGTATAACCGGTGGTTATCCCGCGGAAATATGAGAGAGCGGAACTTTTTTAATTGAGAAGTTGCGCCTTCACAAGACGAGCATGCGCGAGCGATACTTTAACGCGCTCACAGCTCGATTATCCCCCGCTGGAAAAGCCGATTTCACAAGCTTACCGCCCGGTGCTGCGACGCAATATCTCTTTCATAATCCGCTACGCTTCGGCGTCTTCCCGCGCTGACGTGTGTCTTTTGACGTGTCATCGACCAAGTTAAATCCGACCGGTCGGATCAAAGGGTCCATTTTTTTCGTGAATTAATAACGTACCGGTAATGGCTCAGATTTTTAATGAACAGTACTATGATATCAATACCGATTTGATATTGATGGAATACTGGGATAGCAATGGGCCAAGATTCGAAAATTTTGTAATTATACCGATTCGCAATATGGGAAAAATGATCCAAAATTGTTGATTCCCAGTAATGAC